CTACTACCTAAAGAGAAAAAAAGCAACTCACCTTCTGAAAAAAGCGGCCGAATAAGGAACAATTTGTAGAAGAAATGGATCGCCCCGAACCAAGTGCCAGGATGGCGACTGTATGTAATGGAGCGGCCCATAGGTGATAGCATTTTTTTCTCTTTCGAAATATCGCACCAAAGATGAAGAGTTTTGTCACTGAGTTTTATACTGTTTTGCAGAGAATTCTCTCTCCATTAATGTTTAAAGGCAGCGCCCGCGTTCATTTGTTGTTTCCACGCCCTCTTTGGATATCGTAGCTCACCCTATGAGGATGGTGGACGTACTAGTTTCGCAACTCAAAAATGCGAGAGAATAGCGGCGCCCGCTCGTGAAGAGTCGCCCACCTGGCGACCACTACGCCCAACTTCATTTCTAATGGTTGCCTGATGGTGCGGTTGTTCCGCAACCAACTCTCTCCGCTTCGAATGGTGAGAGTGAGGTGATAAGGGAAAACAGCTGATATCAACAAGTGAGAACTCGTGCGGCCGGCTTCTCTTCGCCTTAAGCACGTACAACCTCAGCTCGGCGTGGGGTCCTATATAGGACATATCCAATGATTTTTTGCATTTTTCTTCACTAATGAACTACTTCTACCTTGTTGTCACAGTCTGAGCCCCATAACTCATCGAAATGAACGCGGGCGCTGCCTTCAAGTGCTCAAACTGGAGTATCAGTCAGTTCGATGAAATTGAGCATTTTCGACAGCCACACTTTTCCACCTCTACTTGAAAAACTCAAACAGCACAGGTCCCGTTGCTAAGTATGTGGCCAAGATGCTATGTGCTTAGGTACTTTAAGTGACTAGAAGATTTCAATTTTGACCTGCTGAGAGCTTACGGAATTACCTTATTCAAGGAGATTCATGCCAAAGATTGAGGAATCGTTAGAGGTCATGGAATGCTTCCTTTTCGTTATCAACTACCTTCCTCAGTTGATGTTAGACGTTCGAAAGTGTGGATGGGTTTTACAGGCATCCACCCCCAAGAGGGCGCCCCGTGACACCTCTTAATCGCTTGAAAGCCGTCATAAGACGCATCTCTCTTTGGTCATGTATATAACAAGTTACGATCTTCTTCTGTAGTTTGGAAGCCGAGGTAAAGTGCAAAAGTGCAAAAAAAGACAGAAATTAAGAAAAGTATGAGGGCAATCATATGCAGCGGAAAGCACTACTTATCGGCCAACCTAATACGTACTACGGTGATCGCAATGGTGGAGTAAATTGCACTGTTGCGCCTACCTCAGTGGTAGGCCCACGCTTTTTGGCAGCCTTAGATCGAGGGCCCTACCAAGAGCAGCGTTCCAGGTGATCCTGGTAATACGACCAACGTGAAATATGCCTTGGTGGCAAGTGGCCCGCTTCGCAAGTGCGCGATCTGACAATGAGGGTCAATGAGGGTCAAAGGAGGGCCCGCAACCATAAATGGTGGTTAATGGAGCTCAGAGCTCACAACAAAGCACCTGAACAGTGAAGAAAAAAGAACAGGAAAAACTGCCTGCGCCCTTTAAGGGACCCCCTATCTTGTGCGTCCATCCTACTATATATAA